GGGGGCGCTCACCGATCGTTCATACGGAACTCACTCGTTCCGTTGTGCCCTATGGACTCTCTCTCGAGCCCAACCAGCAGCCGCACAGCGGCGCATGATATATAGGCAGAATAGTATTACCGACAAAGACAAGGGAGACTGGAATGGCCAGTTGGCAGTAAAGAGGCGAGACTACCTGTCTCAAGTGGCCATTCACACCCTGGACACCGGGCACACATTCGCTTGGGAGAAAACTCGCATTGTCGCTGTGTGTCCCTCCAAAAAGGGCCGAGAGTTGCTTGAGGCCATGCACTCAGACGAATCATGCATTAACCGGCACATCGAGTTGGATGCCGCCTACAGAAATCTCAAGGAGAGTTGGAAGAGGCGAAGGCCAATCAGAACGGACTAACACACACGACGGCCGCTTACTGGCGTGGACGTCAAGCGATTATCGATTTTTTAAGTGCACTTAAGGTGTTAACTATGCTGGCGCATTTGCTCTTCGTTTGTGTCTGACGACGAACCGGGGAACCGGCGTCGAAAATTTACACAATAAACTTCCATTCCCAAATCACACATTCAACTTTGACATATATATACGTTGTGGGGGGCGCTCACCGATCGTTCTTAAGAAACTGCCTCGTTCCGTTGTGCCTTATTGGCTCTCTCTCTCTCGAGCCCAACCAGCAGCCGCGCCGCGGCGCATGATATAGGCAGAATGGCATTAAAGACAAAGACAAGGGAGACTGGAATGTCGTCAGCCAGTCATACCCAATCCCGAGGTGTGGAACACCTTAGACTCGAACTCGCGACCTGCTTGTTAGAAATCCACGTCTCTAAGCACAAGGCCACGAGCCCGTTGTCATGTATGTATCTATTGTATTGTATGCAGCCTAATTAAAGTCTGCGCTTGCCTTGTTTGACAAGCATCACAGCGCTTACGGTCTTGCAACAGGTGAACAGCCAAACAAGTCATCTATTAACAGTGGCATCGACCAGTATGACGCCGACATCCGTCCTTCACCTGCAGTGCTAGCTTTCGCGTTTCAGAGACTGTGCTTGCGAAGGGTTGTGAGCTATATTTCCCGAACGGAACGCTTAGATGTTGTGGTTGGATGGGCGGGGGTGATGGGAGGGATTTGCGCCGGTCATGTTGAGTGGAGCAGTTCCACATTGCTGAACTCATCGATTGGACATGGAAGTATGAATCCTCCGCGGCACATGTGTCTATGCTCCAGAGTTCTGGTGGAGGGGGACACTCTCTTGTTCTAACTTCAATCCCACCCCCCTTCTGGAATTTAGCGCAGTGGCATCTGCAATCCGGAGGGGATGCACTTACTCCCACGCCCTACCCCAGTACGATTTGTGTTTCACAGAGGCGAGTCAAATATTCCAGTATTGTCCAGTACATCACATGCGCCTGTGTGTGATAATTGGACAGCGGCAAGTTACGGAGTACACACAGCGCTGCGCTGCGTGGAATGTTCGTCCAGCGTCTACCTCAACCCCATTCAAAATGCTCACAGCGTCCTAACCGAGAGGCGAAGTCAAGACGAAGGAAGCTGTGTGCGCCCGTGATTGCATTTACTGAGGTGACAAAGCCCGCCTCTACACGTATCATCCAAGTTGTGGTTCATGCAAATCAGACTTTACATAACGCTAGCATTCTGTTTACTAGCTTGAAAGGCCACACAACTGAGGGGCCACTGAGGCCTGCCCTGTAGTCCAGGCGAGAACTCACTCAGCCCGTAAGCCGCAACCCCCTCGACCCCCGACTTTGACGCGCTGTGACAGTTTAAAAACCCATCAGATCTATTAAGGCAGTAAAAGAGGCTTTCAATAGACGTCGTCCTTCAACAAAGTCAGCAGGGCTAGATATGACTAATGTGGAAAAGTGCTCATAGCTGCGTGTGCCAGATGGACTTCCATGTTACAGAGTTCCGAAGGATTAGATTTCATGACGGCAGTAGTCTTAGGGAGGCGCTGTGGAGGGGCGAAGTTAGTTTGTCTGTGGGTTAGCGGCCACCAAAACATCGTTTTGGGGACATGGAGGAATTAATGGATGACTCCAGTGAATAACCCTCACGCGCCAGTGGCAGATCCGAGGCTCGTTGCGAGGCGAATGCAGGCGAAGGTTGCAGAGAAAACTCCCGAGTGCAATGAGAGGAGCATGTTCCATAACCTGATAAGGACGTCCTCGTGGTAAGTATCCGATTTCTTCGATTGAGGCAGCCGTCCGAATCCAAAACGAAACACTTCCATCGCTTCTGACTGCCCAGGACGTGTTTTGGTGGCACCTTTCGCCTTATCTTCGCGGACACTCAGTGCGGCTACGCAGGAAAATATACGGACTGCATATTTGATCTGAATTCTTCACGCCACGGGTCGAATGAGCCCCCTGAAATCAGTTGTGAATGTGACGTGCCTGCAACTATGCAAGAGACGCTTGGATGATTGTGTGTCCCTTTTTGTTCTTCGACACGCGAGGCGTGAACAAAATGCCAGGTCAACTGCAGACAACGATTTTCCTAAATACAATACTACTTAGGTTAGGTGAGTATCATCTTAGCAGTGAAATTTGTTCAAGATGCGCTCACAGCTGTACATAACACACCGACATGAAAACGGTAGGGTTCCAAAGGCTTCCCCTACTGTCATCAAAAATAAACTATGATAAACTGAAAGTTATGGGAGGTAGGCCCCCTGATGCAGTCGTGCCTTACTTATATCAGTATTATGAGCCTCATTTGACGCGTTCTAATGATCCAACATATCCAAAAAATATGAGCAAGCCTGAGAAACGAAGTTGACCTCCATTGATACCTGGGCTTGCATGATAATTAATAATGTGAGACAAAAAAATAACTCGAAAAAAAGCATGAAATTGATCAGGGCGCTGATTCATGTGCGCGTGTATAACAAGTGCGAGATATAGACGCGCTACAGAAGAGACAGTATAAGGCTTCTAACTCCCCCTCCCAACTCCAAAGCGGGGCAGCGCACTAATGAGGCAGCAAAATGACAAAATTATGACAAGTTTTCTTTTCATAAAAAAGTACTTTAATGAGCAAGACAAGGAGGGGGAGGATTAGAAGGTGATGGAGAGGCAATGAGGGAATTGGAGGGCTCTGTGTGAATCGCTGGAAAGATTTCATTTTCAATGAAGCGTCTCAGAGGTAGCATCTCTTGCAGCCTGTATTCATTTCTTTCAAGTGACATGTGCGGTTCACAAACCATCAGTAGGGTCTCCGGCCTAGAGGGCGAGATAAAAATAGGTGCTAGGAAGTCGCCATAGCCGAAAAAGACAACATCCCTGACTGCGTCAGGCAGAACGAGGACGGGTGACTCCGCGACAGAACATCAGGCTTTCAAAATCTGCCGATCCGACTTTAAATTACAGGTCTCTCGGCCGTTTGCTGTTCTCCTTTCTCTATGATTAGTACTTGCAAATGACGGTTGCTTTGTTGATGTGCGCGTACAAACAGGAGTTCACAACCTGATGTCCAACCCAACACGGACTGCCGAAAAAACCCCTAGTAAATATACGTCCGTCTTCATGTGCGCAGTTTAAAATTCTAAGGCGTAAAGGGTATAATACTTCTGAAAGAGTCAAGAATGACAGATATGGTCAGGTCAGACAGTCTGCGTGGCGCTTGCTGACGTTCACGACCAGAGCACGCTATGCGACGCCTTTAAAGGGCTCGTATTTCGATGAACGAAGTTTGATTCTGTGTCAGGAGTTTGGCGGTAAAGTTACCTCATGTAGGCGATCAAAACGCCGTCATAAAACTGCTCCAGATCGACTTACAAATGTAAGCAATGAGGTTTCGGCGGTAACCGTTCGTGTCGGGATTAGGTACTGCCAAACAGGTACACAGCTCTTACAAATTTTAGCTAGTGGACTTCATGATCACGATAACATACCCCTGAAGGTTCTGTTTCTATCACACCCTACATAAGTAAATTCAAGTCAAACCACCTTTGTTGTAAAGTAGGCGGCAAATAAATTGCATTAGGAAAAATGCAGGTGGCAGTAGAGCAGGCGAGTCAAAATGCATTCCCTACCCCAATGTTGGTTTGTGGTGTAGTTCAGTGTGAATGACGTAGCCACGGCAGGCGAGAGAGAAAGAGACCATCTCCCACACAGGACCCGTAGTCGTTCTGTCAAGTATCCCATAGGTGACATTGAAGCATCGAAACGGCGTCTCCGAGGCACGGCAGTTGATACCATCTGAGCTAGCTGAAAATTAGAAGAGAACAAAGAAAAACACCTACCCCGGGTCAAATCGAGGAGCTGATGGAAGGGTTCGTAGAGAGGTGACGAGACTGGGGGCACGCTGACTAAAGAGGACCCTGCAAGAAAGGATAAAAGACCGCCTGAGTGAAAAAGTGTCATACGAGTTGGTCTGATAGGCCACAATAAAAGTGGTCCTGAAGTCCACAGGCTTAAGAAAGAGGCACGAAAAGTCTGACTTTGTGTCAGATTCAAATCCTACCATGACGATAAATATTCCTTGTGACTGTCCTATAAATAACAGAGCAGCTTCCTTTGTCTTAGTCTTCAAAAGGCGAAATGGGACCCGCAAACGTGAGGGTGATTTGAAAATTTTTAAAGTACTTGAATTGACTTGGCTATGCAGAAAAAACTAACAATCAATTATATCACTGTCAGAGAGATTGGTGAACAAGATATTAAACTGAAGTGCGAAGTTTTCAACGACTCGGAAGTTGCAAATCCGTCCTCATAAAGGACAGGAAATGGGATACATACGTTAGCCATATGCGTAGGTTATAGCGGCTGGCTGCAAAAACACAAAGCGACATAAAAACGCTCCATATCTGTGCGCACTAGAAGTTTGCTGAATGGCAGGCAGAAATTATATCCACATGCCTGCACCTGTATTGGTGATCTCTGATGACAGAAAGGAATGACAGTGGGGAAAAGAGCAAAACTGCTACCTGCATGTCGACGCCAGACCATACGTTGAAAAGTTATCCTGTCTAAGACTGTCCAATATCAGATGCGTTATAAGTGAGCAGTCATTATATCCGTCAAAAAAGAATCCTACGAGAGTCTATCCATTTTCATTTTCAATCATCTGCAACCTCAACAGTGAACTCGTGAACTTCAGCCGAAAACTTCAAGACCATTGGGAAAGCGGGACGCTTCCAAGACATGTCGTTGGCAGACAACTGCAGAAAGCTTAAGGCGAACGGAGAAGTATACGTCTAAAGTCTAAAGGCAAACAATTTCTAAAAAGAACGCAGCAAACTCTATGTGTGCCTAGCATTTAAGATACAGATGAACGCAATGAACAATTTATGAAAAATTACTACTGATAAGCACGGCCACCTTTGAAAGCGTCCACTCGTAGTGTGGCTCAGAAATCGTGCGGAATTGCGCACATCTATTTGCTACAGAACTTGGTAAAATGCGGTGAAATTAAGAAGCGCGAAGCATTAACTTTTCTTACCACATGCAGATTTTTCCTTATCCCTGGCATCCAGGCAGTCAGCGAGGAGGCGCAAGTTCAAGTAGGATTCAATAATATCCTAATACATTGGAAAAAGGTACGTCAGAAATTAAGAAAAAATGAATCTGACGGATGGGACGAATGAATTTCAAAACTAACTGTTCAGCGCTTGTGAGACCGGACTTATCGGACATTCCCAATAAGTTAAGTGAACTTAAAAATTGCGCAGCTAAGCCCAATCCGTACGCTTTGTCTTTCTTTTCGCACAAGTGGATGCCTAGCCAGTTGGCAGCCCTGGTTTAGATGAAAGAAACACGGCGCCATAGTAATTGCGATAATAAAACCCCTGTCGACTGAGTATACTAAGATCTGCGGCCTGTGATGGGTTCTACACAGATGAGCAAACTACCGATCCCCAGGCCAGATAAACAGCGTCGGCCTTGATATATTCAGCAAAATCAAGAATCCTTAACCTTTAAGTAGGGGGGTATTGCCTGGCCAGTTAGCGGGCAACACATTCGCAAACGGTATAGCAGACAAATGTGAGCCAGAACTACTTTTGTGACGTTTTGCATACGGTATCCGAAAACTCCAGTTGGACTCACTCCACGATGAAGAGGGAAGGATCAACTCGTAGAATACGCTTTTCGGTGCTGACTAATTCGACATAATCAGAAACTGTATTGAACTCTTTTGTTCGTTGCTTGACAGAGAAGATTTACATTACGGCCAATTTGTGCTATATAAGAGGCTTTCATAATTTTTACTAGGACAATCAGTATGCGCTCGTAGAAAAAATGCCCTCTTCTATAAAAAGGAGGGGCGACCTGGACATTGGTAGCAACGCCTCCTTGTCCCATTGTCTGAGAATACCAGAAAACGCAACTAATACAAGGGTGGGGCCTTTCTGAATAGCTTAGATGCTTTTTGTGTCGAAGACGGAACAGTTCACTGCGTAAGGTAAGTGTTGTTTCGAGTAACCACGGCAGCCCTTAAGAGCTTCTGTTAATTAGAAGCAGTTTTAGGTGTGAACGGGCAATTATGCCTCTACTCCGACTTTTGGGTTAAAAATAAGTAAACAACGCTAACGGTGATCATGACCGGTTCTTTTAAAAACAAGTACGTGACATGAAAATTTCAACGGTCAGTTGTCCAAACCTTCACACCCGATAACATTTAGCTGCTGTTTCCAGCCACGGAAAGCGCGGTTGCGGACCGGCGCAAACAGCCTCGAACTCACGCACCATCTCACGGGTGGAATATATCCCACCAGCAATAGCGAACACGCCAAATCGAGTAAGCTATCAAATCCCTAGGGTTAGGATCTGGCGGAATGCTCGTAAAATGGAGGGTGGGACTTTACGGGGCTTAGTACTAAGACAATCGTGTACACATGACGAAAAGCTGGACGCTGCAGCGTGCTGCCATCTGAGAAATGCAGTTTTTGGTTGCTGGGGGAATGATTCAAACAAGACAAAATGAGAAGAGGAGAAAAGGATGAAATTAACTAAACCACCATCCGAAACAACCGCAAAACACATTCAGCCAGTAGGACCAACGGGGCCGCTTGTTAATCTCGGGACACAAATTCTAGCGCAGTAAAAGGTCTTTTGACTAGAAAAAACTTAATGTCTATAATTTTGGTAACTAAGTCCGCAAAAGGTAAATACAATAGTAATCCTGAGAATTTTATATTTGTTATAAATTTTAAAATAAATAATTTTATGGTAGTTAGCAAAAGCTGCGAAGACATCCGACGTCAGATCCACATTAAATTACTGCCTCTACACAACTTGTGACGCTTCTTGGCGAACCATCTTCAACCACTCTTTCTTCCAGGGGGTTCTGTCAAAACGCGCATGCAAGACTGCCGATATTACTCCAGTTAACTTTTGAGTGTTTCTGCAAATCCACTAAAACGAATTTAAGAGGCCTCTGAATCCGCAATTAAGAGCTCCACGTTCAAACGATTTAACAAACAATGCCCAGCAGTGTATGTAGTCGCTCCACAAACAATAAGGAGCGGTATCCGCCGACGGTACAATCGTAATTTGCATCTGCTCTCGCATTTCATTCAAATGGCTTATCTGTCGCCTGATCGGAAATCCTATTCGTCTTTGGCGTCCAGTTTTACTTCCAACTGCCTAAAGGGTTTTGTTCCGTTTTTAATTCGTCGTTAGTGAAACCCAGTACTGTGCAGTCCATAAAATTGGTTGTCTTTGCAACGGAGCCGCGTTTCAAAAACACTAACTGCGATTTTTGATTAACCCTTGCACTCTTTGGGCATGGAAAGTGCCTTAATCTTTAAACTGAGGAATTTTGCTTAGAATTAAGTGTTGCAAGGTCATGCTTTACCATGTTACCAAGGTTGGGTTCAATTGCAACAGTGCACAGGACGTCGTAACCGATGCCCTAGTCAGCAATGGATGTGCTATTAAGCCTTGCTTGAAAGCTTTCAAATGTCTCGTTAACTTTCTTCAAACGAGGAATGAACACCCGATTGAAGTGACTTCTGAGTGTGCTTAGTGCGGGCCGATGTGTCATCTGGGGTGTCAAAGCCTGGTTTGTGAACTTTAATGTAATATCACGTGTTTATTCCAATGTGATCAGGGGGTCCTTTCCTTACCGACTTTACGTATGTCATATCTTGTCTGTGAACCCTACTGAGGGGGAAAGAGAGAGTGAGCTAGGCGAAAAGAAAGTCACCGTCGTCAAAAATAATTCCGCGTCAATACCTACCGTTGTGTCTTTCAGATAACTGTCATCCTCACCGATAAATATTAACAAACAACCGGCTCATTTATACAACGCAAACGACACGGGGAACATTATCTTCAGAAGCATGGTCTGTGCTCATGATGTGCTAAGAGGCATCTAAATGCCCATGTTGATTATGAATTGACGGCAAGAAGATTGAGATTGATAGATATCGTGCGATACTTAGCCAGATGGACATGGTCGACACTCGCAGCACGATTTTGAAGAGATAAGTGAAGGTTATATTTTTGGATTCAATTTCTTAATCTCCTGCACAGTTTTCCGGTGTAGATCTGACAAAATTTTCTATTTTTGTCATAAGTCATCTTCGCTTCCCGTCGTGTTTCGGTGATTTGTCGTAAAGCAGAAATCTAGCGTCAGTTTTTCACCCAACATAGCCTCAATCCCATCAAGTCGTACCTGCATTTACAAAAGGTTTTCCTCGTAAAAATATAGAATAACATTATATTTTAAACGATGAACCGTCTCCACTGACCGCTTTTATCGTCGGTTAATTAAGAATTATACTGTTCTCTATTTTATCCTATATAGCCTCATTATCCACTTCAGATTTATTCATTGTTCTGTTTTGCCACCTACGAAATTGTCTTTTACCCGTTTTATTTCAAGTTTGCATTCTGTTATTGAGTAAATTTGCTTAGTATAAACTGTGCTGTCTGGTCCTCCAATATTGACAGCTTTCAGTAATCGCTTCATCGTACATAGCCTCATCCATAGATCCTCGAAGTTTCGGCAGTTATCATCCATATGAATATTTGGGCTTAAGTCTTGTATTGCATTTTCGACATGAAACCTCAGGCAGCCCTTCGTCGAAATCTGAAGGAAACTAAACTTCATCTGAAACCCATTGTTCAAATGAAGAAAATTGATCTAGCGGCGCATGATGAGTTTAACAATTTTGTGTCTCGATACGGATCAATATTTCTGTTCTTTGTGCCCTTCTTGACAAAAAGTTGTTAACGCTTACGTCTCAGCAGTGTGAGAAGCTCATGCCTCTCATTAACCTGGTTGCTACTGAGACCGAAGACAGGCACAAACGAAGTTTCAATTTTATATTAAAAAACGTTTCTAAGAGTAGACAGCCAATAGATGTCGCTTTTCATTTCCTTTGTTCATGCGGCTTCAACTTTAGGGTCGCTGAAGC